AAAAACAAGAGGAGGCGCCGGTCTGGCAGGTCAAGAAGTCGAGAAAGGAGGCGGTCTCGCAGCAGGGGGAGAAAGAGGAGAGGCCGCAGTCGCAGCAGAAGTCATAGTCGAACACGCAGTAGGAGCAGAAGTCGGAGTTCCTCTCGATCCCGGAGCAGGGGTAAAAAGAGATCGAGCAGCAGAGGAAAAAATAGTGAAACTCCCAAAACAAAGTGAGAATTACTTTTAGAAGTTGCTAATTGATCAAACACAGAGCTGACAAAGAAATCTTTCCAGTAGGGCACCAGTTATATTTGAGTTTCAAATAAAGTGTTCTTGCACATTAAAATGTTTCTTCCTAATAAAGGAACCTAGTTTATTGTGTGCCGAGCTTCAGAAAATTAAAAGTTTAAGTCCTATATAAGGTGTGAATGTCAAGTACTCTAGCTGTTCTGTCCCTCTGAACTGCTGCAACATCTGGATGCATACCGAGTACAAATAGAAAGAGAAGTAAAGCTTATTTGGTATATGCTTATTTCTGTGTTACGCGTGTGTTAAGTGGTTACTGTCCCTGTAAGGAGTTAGTACAGAACAGCCAGTGTGCTGTAAATTCACACCACAGCGTACTGCAAATTGAAGTCTGCGTAGAAGACTGCCATTTATATTTTCCGTCTGTTGATGAGAAAGCTCTTTCTAGACAAAGTAAATATAATCATGAGTTGGAGAAAAGGGATCTAAAAGACATCACTGTTTGATTGTACAATACTTGCCCAGTAGGAGCTTTGTGGTCATAAGTCTTGGATTTTTCTCTCTCCCCTGACTGAGCTGCTGAGCTGATTGCCCGTAGGGATTGCAGTAGACTAAAACCAAGTAGGAAGTACACAGAAAAACAATCCATTTATTCAGTACCTTAATCCTCAAGTAAGAGTGGAGACCTTGCACTTGTAATCCTCGAGTGAGGATAGAAAATACTTTGCATACCTCTTGGTTGCATACCATTTGTAGTTGAAAACAACCTGCCTAACCTGGGATAGAGCGGTGGACAAGCGTACATCTGGTAGCTGAAGATGCATATATGTAGTTGTGAAGGCTCAAGGTGGTTGCAGAGTGGCTAAAGAAACGGAAGGTTTTACACCTGAAACAATACTTAAGGTTTTTTGGAGAGGAGGACTTGACTTAAAGCCTTTTTAGGCTTATTTTACAAACAGTTTAAGGCACCCTACTGCCTAACTTCCCCGCAGTCCAGGTGGAGAGTAGGGTACATAAAAATGAAGTTACTGTGACAAAACCTTTTTGACATGACAGCTGTATTAGCAAAGTACCTGCAATTAGATAAATCCTTACAGATATTTCTTCACTTTTAAATGAAAGATTTGTGCTGTTAGATGGACTGTACTTCACGCTGCTTAACATCAGGTGTTTAACTTAGGCACCTAGGCGTCCTCAGACGCCTGGAGAGAGCAGTTTGTGGCGGTGCAGGTGCAGGTGCCCTGAACGGTCTGCAGAGATACCTCCCTCTCTTTAGCCTCTCCAAAGAACTTGGGCTCCTGCCTTTAGAGTACAGTTCAGACCACCAAAGTTAGAAGCCTAAAGCAGACACGAAGTGCTCCCGAACAGCCAGTTGTTTACAATACAACGTAAAGTCCTGTAGAAAATCTGGATATCCCAACTTTACGATAGCATTCCTCCTCACAGCAAGAACGTTTTTCCCCCGGGATAGTTAAGAGTGAATGAACATTGCTCCTGGATATAATATATATATTTTTGCTTTTCTAAACGCATACTGCACCTAGCATGCTGATTATACATTTTTCTTCTTTCATGTGTAACTGTTGTCCGATACGGAGTAGTACAACAAAAGTGCTATATATTGATGTTCAGTTCAAACCCGACTTTCACTATATATTGTCATAACTGTAGGCAGAATTGTAGCTTAGTTAATTTGATTAAATGTTTTAGTTATTAACAGATGTAGGAATTGTAATTTAATAGCATAACTTTTGAAATAATAACTTTGTTTGAAAGGCATCTTTCCAAGGGTAGACAGCACCAAGTTTTAAATTATATTTGAGAGATGCGTGACCACCAGTTTCTCATAATGTATCTTTTTCTGACTAGACCTTACAGACAGATTTTCCCCTGGGTTTCTATTTTTTTCATAGATGCTCACTTGTCTAGTTGGGTCACTTGTGCAGAATGTGGCGAACGCGGGTTCAGTTCCCTGGAGCAGAATTGAACTGGCATTCCCTACTTGCGGAGACGCACCACCACGGGGCCAATGACGTCTCCCTTTCACTGGTGCTGCCTTGTGCCCCCCAGCTCGTGCTGGTCCGCTGGCCTGCTGGTGAAGGCTCTCGGGTGGAAGAGTTGACCTATGCCGTCTGTAGTCCCTTGTACGTCCCGTGTCACGCTATCTCTGAGCGTTATCTGAGCGAAACCCATTACCGGGCTGAGAGGGAAGCGGTGGAATGGGTGGTGGGAAGCCGTGACCAGTCGGGCGAAAGAAGCAAAGCAGACCGCTGTAGGATTAGAAACCAAGTGCCAGCTGAGACCCATGTGAGAATTCCGCAGGTAATCGGGCTCCTTGTCCCCACGGTTTTGTAATGGGATCTGGGAAGCTGAGCTGCTGTTATTTTTTTTTTTTTAAAGTTCTTATAATTAAAAAAGACGACTTGCTCAGAGGTGCATGTAAAAATTTAAATATACTTTATTTCTGCTACTATAATGGCTGAAGCTTCAGCTTTTTTTCTTGAGGTCTGGACCTGAACTTACTGGCTGTACCTGTGCAGTGTAGGACTGGTAGCTGTGATTATCATTCACTTTCACATGCAGACTGTTTATTACACAGAAATTGAGTGCTGTAGATCTGACATTTAGTTTGCATTTGTTAGCATGAATTCAACCAGTTTTCTAACTTCAGAGTTCATATATTTCAGTATTGTTTCCCTACTTCATAATCTTAAGTAGTGTTATATGCATGGTTTTGTGTTTCCTTATTAGCCGAGTGAGCTATTTATTCTGAAGAGACAAAGAGACTAGAAGTTCTTAAATGTTAAGCTCAATTTCTTTTTTTTCCAAAGGGGAGAAGCCCCAGAAGAACACAGAGAGGATTTAAATTTGCAAGGAATAGCTTGTTCTCACTGCGTGTTATTCTGCGTATTCCGCAGAAAAGGGCTTTATAAAGTGAATTAATACTGGCCAAGTTTTGTTTTCAATGACTGCTTAAAAGCAGTGGCTTTCAAAATTCTTTTTTTCAGTTGTGGATTCTGCAAGGTGCTTTAGAGCGATTATGAAAGCGGGCATTTAGACAGAGCTGCAAGAAGTTGGTTCGGGCAGCAGTGGGTCCCCCCGACAGGGCCTGCCGGGCAGCTCATTTCAGTCGGGATGGGGAGCAGGCGCTGCTCCTACCCTTCTCCTGTGGGAGCAGGAACACAGCCCAGCCGGGCGGCGAGGTCGCGTTTTTCCAGTGGCAGAAGGGGGGAATAGTGACAGCGTGGCGGGAACTCCTGCGAGCACAGGCAGTTACGCAGCACAGAGGCAGCTGGGAAGCGGGCTTGCCCCCCTCGCAGCAGCGTGCCCTCCAGTTCTGGCTGGCGGCTGCTTCCACGCGATTGGCCCTTTCCGCCTGTCCCCACCGTCACCGGGGGGGGGGAGAGGGGAGAAGGGGTAGCACGCGTCCACGTGCTGAACGCAAGGCTTTCGTTTGTTACGGAGGGGGAACGAGCACACATGAAAAGGCCTTTTCCTCTCTGGCCCGTCCCTTGCTTATAGGGCGGACGGTCTGAAGCGCCTCCTAAGTAACTTCCCAGCTTTATGTCCTTTGACGAAAGCACGTCCTTCTCAGATTCAGTTTTGCGTTACCACATTCAGCGTATCAGAAATGGCCCTGAAGTTTGCCAGTGACATTCCTGTGCGCTAAATAACATTTTTTCAAAAGAAATGCAAGAGCCTGCTTAAAGATGCTATTGCTTCCTGTCCTGGATCAGCACTTGTTACAAAACATGGAAGTCAATGCTAGTTAATAATTTAAAAGCTGAATTTACTTTCTTACATCATCTAAAGAGCGGGGCTGATTTTGCTTTCACTGTAAGTGCGTTGTAATTAAAGTAAACCCCTATTATTCCACATAGCCTTCTATTCAGCACTGACGTATCAGCTGAATTCAGTACCTATCTCTGATTTAAAAAAAAAAAACATACAACATCGACAAGTTACACTTCAGTGAGCTACGAGACCGATCACAAGGCAAGCCGTACAAGCATAACCCGTGGCACAGGGCAACTCAAAGGCAGCCACAGGGCGACCGCCATCACGGCGTTAACGAACTCCAAAGGCACAGCAGACGTTTAGGAAGGCCTCTCCACGTTAAAGACTAAGATTCAGTGAAGAAGACGCTCGAGCCAACAATCACCTGCCTAAACAATCCAGAAATTCTAATTGATTCTTTAGCTCCCCCCCCCGCCTCTTCCCTGTAAGGTAGGAAATCCAAGAAATGAAATTTTGTTTCATATTGAAGAAATGCCCTATGATGGTAAGTTTTCCCCGTGCTTTTGCTGATAACATCAACCAGCTCAGTTCTTTTAGAAAGCTGAAGAACAGATTAATCCGAGAAATTTATGGTTGAGACTAGGATTGTGAATGTTGCATTGACTTGCTCGTAATTCCATTTAAGGAACTGAATATGGAGTTTGTATTATCCAGAACCCTCTCTCAATCGACGTGGTTTGTTTTAATTTTCAAATGAAGTGGCACTACCGCATCAATTTAACAGCCGCTTTAATAAATCTCATGTTTAATGTGGTAAGCCTTCCAAAAACTTGCTAATTTATTGCTTTCTGTACAATTTAAATGGATGTAAATAACTAATCTTGGACACGGTATACTCTCACATTTTTTTAATAAAGCGCTCAAGAACAGGTTAAGCACTGTAATAAAATTTCCCTTTTTTTTTTAAGCTAGCACTGAGTAGCCTCTTCTTTCCTCCACAGAAACCAGAACTAATTACATATAAACACAAAGCCATGGTGTAAAAATGGACATTTATTACAACTAAACCAATGTGACAGACAGAGGTCAAACAGTTTATTTGTCACAATCACAACAAAGCTTAATCCAGCCGAGCACATACAAGTGACAGTGTAAACTTCAAAAACATGTTTAATACATAGAAAATCACTTCGGGTTTGCCTTAAGGTAATTCTACCGCCTCAATCTCACGCAGGGGGGTCATTCTGCTGCCACCTGAACCTCATCTATCCCTGCACGTTCCGCGCCAGGGAAACGCACACCACTGCTTTTGCGTGCCCGAGGTTACAAACGGTCTCTAGCAGTCGGGTGGGGTTAAATCCCAGAAAGGGCCCAAGCAGACAAGTTCTAACACCGAGTGCCCAGGCTCCGGCCTGGCACTGCCGCGGAAGCCTGCAGACCCACGCCTGCCCCGGCCGGCCCTTCTGCTGCCACGAGCGTTTACACTGGGATCTGGGTTCGGGGGACTTGCAAGGGGCCACGCCGAGCCCTTACCTGGCGGGTGAAACTTAACCCAGATCGCATCGAGCCCACAGCCTAGCTCTCCAGATGGCCGTGTAAATGCTCGCGCTAGCAGTGCGCGGCTGCTTCCAGCAACAACGCCAAAGCCAAGTTCTGCGAAAACGCAGCACTACTTACTCACTCGAGCGAACAAGCCAAAACGCCGACTCCTAGAGCCACGTTATGGGGAGGGAGGGGAGGGGAACAGCCCCGCCGCCTCAGGGACCGTGCCGACACACCGCAGAACTTGGCTACTCCAAAGTGTGGCACGACCGCCTCCAAACTCAAAAGCATACATGAATCCAACCTCCTCAAGTGAAACAGGTGTAGTCTATAATTACTGAAAGTCTGCTAGAAGTGTCAAAATACTACTTGGTATCACTTCACGTGATTTGCAGTGAATCTACTATACAAATCTAATACTTAAAAGCCCTGGCTGCAAACTAGTTGGTTCAACTGTACGTCACGCAGGTGTTTCGTAAGGGATGTGCCACACCTTAAAAGGTGCAAGTCAAGAAAAGCAGTTAAAATGACATTGACACTTAGTGCGGTGTTTGGGTTTTTTTAAAGGTACCTATACACCCATTAAAGCATAACTACAAAACACCAATAAATACAAATTAATTTGAAGAGTTTGAAAGAAAATAATGAAGTCCCTTCTGTAAAGCTCCTTCTTTCCCATCTTCAAAAGTATCCAATTTTCATTATGCACCTCTCTGTACAGCCGGGAAGCCTATCTCCTTTCTTGTGTTTATGTTCAGAGCAAGCTAAGAGCAGATCTAAAAAGAGTTTCCTTATTTGGATTTTTTTTTTTTTTTTTGGCTACATGCATTCCCTTTTTAGCATAGTAACTCGCACAGTTTTGCTCAAGGTAGCTACACTTAAATACACCTTCATTTCTAGTGAGTCGATCAGTTTGCAGTTTTCTTGCAAAAAGCAGTATCACCTTAACAGTTTTTACCAGTTTGATATGCAGATCCTAACAGGATTCTTTGGTATAATGACAAATTCAGGAGTAAACAGGTATTTCCAATCTTTATGCATCAACTGAAACAAGCAGAATTATCACAAGTGGTGACTAAAATGTCGATGAACAGAAGTCTTTGGTTGCATAAACACAATTTCTACACTAACATTTTGTATTTGGAGTTGTCCATGTAGTTTCTTTTCATTTAGATATGCTATGTCATAATGATACATTTATTTCCTGAAGTCAAGTTTGCTTATAAAAAACAGTACACTTATTGAAGTCAAATGCAATCTTCCCATAAATGCAGTGAAGGGAGACACTGAGTCAATTTAAATCTAATTCCCTTTCATTTATGATTTTTGGACTTCAGTTCCTGGTTCCCTTTTCAAAGGAGTATTTTTCTTGTAGGCCTGAATGAAGCAGCTTAGCAAAACAGTAATACTGACAAACAGCATCTTACACCATTAGCTAAACATTACAATGAAGGCAGTGAACATTTACAGTATGAAACACTGAGATGTCATCAGCTGAAGTGAAGATTTATGTCAATCCAATTTCTTCAAGTACACTACGTGGGGTCTCTGCTTCCTACGGAGGGAAAATGTGAGACAGTGGTGAATGGACCCTGTGCTTCTACTGAACAGTACCATACATGAGTTAATGCGAAAGATGCTTAATTAAAAAAGAAAAGCTAGAAGACATGAAAATATAAGAGTACTGCAGTTTGTAAACATGGTATTAGCTGCACTTCTCAAAGAGCTGTTAATTAGATTGTCACGGTTCACAGGAATAGCTGGCAGATTTTATTGCCCTTAAGCGCAATAAAAATAAAGCAATTCGGATGTACCAGCAGGGAACAAATCACAACCCAGTAAGAGAGATATGAATTGGGGAGGGATGGGGAGGCATCTTGCAATGGAGTCAGTGATTTTTGTGGTGAATTGTTTCATGGGTCTCAAAAATCTGTTAGGGAAGACTGAGTAAACGGGTGAACGAAATGACTGATGCAACTAAGATACAGTATCCCTTCAGCTCTTTAATAAAGAGCCTAGATTTTTTTACACCGGTCCCATGCTTAGTTCATGTGCATAGGACCGGTGTAAAAAACCTTAGTTCAAACCAGGTCAAGGTACCTTGGTACACCTGGTGTCGATAAATCGACCCCTACAGAAGCAGAGGAATTGCCAGGGTTGGAATTGTATTATTCCACACCAGGCATAAAGTTTCAGGTTAATTCTCATCTTACAAAGCTTTGTTTCTATTCAGAGCAATTTGTTTAATACAAAATTCGAAAGGGTTATCATCAGTTTTGTATTCATTACTCCTATAGCATCTGAAAAGAAACAGTAGTTTAATTAGAAACATTAGGCTGTCCTTTTCCATAATTATTAACAATATCATAGTAAATAAAAAGGGATACTGTGTCCTTATGGAAACAAACTGGTTTAGTATCCAGAGTATGAATAAACTTACTTTAGCATCCTAAAACAAGATATGTCATGAAGCAGAAAAAAAAAAAGCAGATAATAGTTAAGGCAGCAAACAAATTATTTTTCAACTGCTTTCTAAATATTTATTTAAAAAACTTGTCAGTAAAATATATAATTAAATGCCTTAAATCTTGCAAGTAACACCAGAACATTGTCTCTATCAACCTTGACTATGTAGCACAAAATGAGAGTTTACAATCCTCATTCAGTTCATGTATAAGGTGATTTAGTACTGAAGGAACAAGCTACGATGGTTTAAAGGCAACTTCATTTGAAATAAGTCAGTGCTTGGAACAGGCCACCTCTGAGCACTTTGAGATGGCTTCCAAAATCCAGCAGTAAATAAGAAATTGCAAGAAAAAGGCAAGTTAAAACCCGAAACAAGATACTCGGTGTATTACAGATGTAGTGGGTTTTTTATCACCAATGCAGTACCTAAATATTCTTCAAACTGCAGTGACCTTGATAAAGCCAGACAGGATGGCAGGATTAGATTTACGTGTGTGTTTTAACACAAATCCCCCAAAAGGAGAGACAGATTGAAGAAAAGGCTATGTAGCATTTTTAATATAACCTGCCGTATTACATTCCCAGATTACTTCGTTGCATTCATTTTAGAGGACATGCGTCTCCCCTGTCCACCCACTTAAAGCATTTTACTCAAGAAAATCCTACATTCTTAACTACAGCAACAGAACTCAGAGTATTCTAACAGAATGTAACTTCTCAACCATTTCAGGGTCTTGAAAATATTTGTAATAAAACAACTTTTCACAGTTTTAAATTGATTAGACAGCACAGGACACTTACAGTTACTCAGTGGTGAAACAGGGTATTTACTAAATTACCTGAAAAAAAAGTTGCTCAATAGCTATGAAGAAATACAGTGCACTGCTGCTACTATCTTCAGAGCAGTTTAGTATTGTCGTCTCCACTGCCAATTCAAAGTTGTAGGTAATTTTCACCAGGCATATACTTAAAGATTAAATTTCTTCAAGTAAATCAAGGTCATTGGCTAACAATGAATTTAAAGCAACGTATTTCAAGGACACTGGCTACTTGTCCACAGATACCTCACCAGTCAAACTCAGTAAAATTTTAATTTTTTAATACTACAGCAGTAACGTTGAGGCAGACATGCCTTCTTATGTGCACATCAACAACAAACTCAAAAGGAACACCTAAAGGCTAATGTGTTTTACTAGAGGAATAATTTCATCGATTATGACTTTTAAGAAACAAATAGAATGAATTATATTACATTTTGTTCACATTATTTGTTTTAGGAAGTGTCAAACATTTTATCCAATTGTTATGGAAAATGTTCTGCAGTATCATACACTACCTGCAGCTCAGAATCACCCAAGGCAAACAATGCAAATTTGAAATACATCAGAACACAGATGAGGAAAAAAAGTCATTCACATGAGACAAAAGTGCATGCAATACTTTATTTCAAACATGCCAGGAAAGCTAATTCATTACTTAGTCATTTAGAAGCAAGCAGCTGTATACAGATAACAAGAAAAACAGCATCTCATTACAGCTCAATGCACAGCATTTTAAGCCAACAGGCATGAAATAATGCAGGCTAAAGCAGCATTAACCAGACGTTCAAACACATTGTTAATGTCTTACAGAAAAAAGGCAAACTTGGAAATGGAAAACCACTCCTATGATCTTGTTTTCTAAGATTTCAGAATGCTGCAAGTTCAATCCGAATCTTTTGTCTAATCCCCTAAATCTCCCATTTTTAAGTCAGTTCAACATTTGAAAGTAGTGCATTACCACATATAGTACGTGGAACTAGCTGTTTGTTGTTAACCTCTGTAACTACCTCCTCGCTAATTGCATTTAAACAATTTCCAAAAACAGCACTGGTTTTAGGTTACAAACTATTCTCTTCTGCTAGGCAAACAGAGGATGTAATACATGCCCTCTCACTCTGCCCACACTTCTTAACTGAAAGGTACTTATATTCATCCTCGTGGCAGTTCTCTGATGCACTTAAAATTGGAAATGCCAATTGAAGGAGACATACTTCAACTACGCTGTTAATGGACTTTAAAAAAAAAAAAGTCTTTCCAACCCTAACCATTTGTAAAGCACGAACTTGTTCTCTCCTTCGGTAGCAGCAATTGTTCAACTACTCACAAGAGTGTTTTGAACATTTAGATACAAGTGTTGTAACTTCAGATTTACGTAAGTCGTTCTCTTCGCCCTAATCAATTCTGCCTTCCTCCTCTTGTTAAGGTAAGTCACACTATCGTGCCAGTCTCAGAAAAGTATACTGGTTATGTGCATCTTTAAGATGCAAGGCATGTGTAGAATTGTGTGTAACATCATTTAATACTTGCATGTATACACATTTCGCATACTACTACTCCTTCACTAGTCTCTCTGTAAATATGAACTTCATCTACAGGTTTTAAGTGTATGTTTAAATACCACCACAACTTATTTGAAAGATAAACACAGGTCAAGTAATGTTACAGTATAGGTGTTGCAGTATCTAGACGTTTAGCTCGGAAAATTCTACAGAACTTTTAAGCATAAGACTTCAAGCTTACACACAATAGAGTTAAACCATATGCCGACAAGCACAAGTTTTGTTGAAATGAGACATGTGAGGAGACAACACTGTAAAACAGAGGGGGAAGAGGAAAGTACAACAGCAGAGAATGGTTGTGGTATTCTATTAGATTCAAGATGACTGGATTCACCAAGCTGATGATAATGTTCTGCCATGAGTAAGTCACAGGTCTATCTCCTCTGAAATTCTGCATGCATGATGAATGAAGCCATTTAGTACACTGGGACATTAAAGTATTCATGACGTGGCTACAAAAGAAATGTACATATTCTTATACATAACAGAAAGGCAGACAGATATGCAAGAAAACAAAAAGATTACCTCACTATTGTATATCTGACATGAAAAGGACATTTGATACAGAAATACAGTATTGTACTTTTGACTACTCTAGACCTGGGGGGGGGGAGAACCATCGTTTTACCCCACCACCACCCCCGTACTTGCATGCTGGGTCCAACAGGACATACAGGACAACGTCACACATAATTATTCTATTATCAAAGCTCAGAGTTTCTTCTCAGCCAAAAATTGTTTGAGGCTGAGATACTGTTCCAGAGATGGACCACCCTACAGATTTCCTCCATTCTAGCCTCTTCGGTAGACATCAGCTATTGGCTACTGTCAGAGACAAGGCACTGGGCTAAGTGAACTTTTGACATCACCTACCATACCTGCTCTGATAAACACACATTGGTAACAGGCCTCTAGAACATGTCTGTGAGCAGCACCGTGCCAGGGTAGTACAGCAGTGGCGCTACTTGCAACAAAAATTATCTACCAAAGACTGCCTGTTTAAAAAATGGTAGCTATCTGAGACACCTCTCACAGCAGGCAAAGTTTTCTTTGCTTTTGTATTATGCTGCTGAACTTAATACTCTCTTACATTATTAGCATGAACGTTAGTATACGATTTGTTGGAGGAGTTAGAAAGCAAGCAATACTCATTTTTTCGTATTAAAATCAGTGCCCTGAAGACAGATGAGGACATTTTTAGTGGTGTAATAGCAATTTAGGAGTATCAGCCCCACATACGCCCATTACATATCTTCCAGGAGGAAAAACTAAAAGGCACAAAACAACTCTCTGCGTATCAGCTACCATCTTTCATGATGTGCCAATTAAAATCTTCCATCTATTTTAGTATCCCACCCCCCAAAATTACAGAAGTCTTACAACAGAACTGAGAAAGTTCCCATGACTTCCAAACCTAACAATTTCCTCTGTGCCATCTCAGTTTATTCACACGTTCTAGCTTGTGTATTTTTAAATTCTAATCTCCAATTACAAAAAAGCACAACAAAAATATCCTAGAAGCTTTACAGGATTTATACTGCTTTTCAGTTTTAGTAATCAGAACATTATTCCATAGTAGTTAAAATTATTCTGAACAAGCCAACTACAAAATCCAGTAGTTCTGAAAATAATAGCACCTATAGCTCAGTGACAGTTGCAAATAAGTTGTATGAAGTCTGCTGTGATTTTTGGAAGAACTCAAAAGAATT